TGAACCTGTTTTCGGTTAGTCAGACTTTTCATATCGATAAGAGCTTTGATCTTCTCGGGGTTGATATCTATCCCCCTCTCGTTAACCATATACCCCAGGAACATTCCCAAGGATACTCCGAATGAGCACTTGAGGGGATTGAGCTTCATTCTGTACCTTCGGAGTACGCTGAACATCTCAGCGAGATGCGCTATGTGATCTAAAGCGACATGCCACTTCACCAACATGTCATCAACATAGACTTCCATCGATTTTCCAATCTGCTCGGAAAACATACGGTTAACTAGTCACTAGTAAGTCGCCTCAATGCTTTTTAAGCCAAAGGGCATGACCTTGTAACAATACAGCCCCCGATTTGTAACAAATGAGGTATGCTCTTCGTCCAGTGCGTACATCAAAATCTGATTATATCCCGAGTAGGCATCCTAAAGCTTAGCAGCTCGTGTCTGGAGGTGGCATCGACGAGCTGGTTGATTCTTAGCAAGGGAAAATTGTCTTTCAGACAGGCTTTGTTGAGGTCGGTGAAGTCAACACAGGTTCGTCACTTGCCACTAGGCTTCTTTACCAAGACCGGGTTTGCAACCCAGCTCAAGTAAAATGCCTTTTGAATGGACCCGTTCAAAAGGAGCTTATCTAACTCGATTTTCAAGGTAGCATAGCGTTCAGGGTCCATTACTCTTCTCTTCAGGCAAACTGGCTTGACCACACTGTCAATATTCAGCGCATTACATATGACATTCATGTTTATACCGATCATGTTAGCATGAGTCCATGCGAACACGTCGACATTTTCTCTAAGGAAATTTGTCAGGTCTTTGGTAAGCTGAGGGTTGAGATTACTCCCGATTCTCAACACTCGGGTCAACTCATTTTGATCGACTGATACCTCAGATAAATCCTCGACTGGCTCATTGTGAGGGCATTCTTGGATGCGAGGATCCATGTTATCCTCTACCAGGCTGGGCTATGGCTCGATCCTACTGATCGCCATTGCCTGTTTGGGGATACCAACTGGCATTCCTCTTCCTTTGCACGCCATCTGTACTGCTCTTATGTAGTAGTCGCGAGATTCGTGTTGAGATTTGTTTACTTCCCCTATCCTTGTCGAGGTGGGGAACTTCATTTTCAGATGGTAGATGGAGGTGACTGCCTTGAAATTTCTCAGCAGAGGTCGTCCCAAAATTCCATTAAAGGCGGACGGACAGTCTACTACCAAAAATTTCGTTATTTTGGTTATCTCGTCGGTTTCTCCCAATGTGACCAGGAGTGAGATCGTTTCCCTAGGAATCAGATGATCCCCGATAAAACCATAAAGCGGGATGGAGGCAGGCTTCAGGTCTGCCTCGTCCAGTTGCATTTTCTCGAAAGCTCGTTGAAACAGGATATTCATAGTGCTTCCATTGTCAACCAACATCTGTGGACTTCGCACCAGCCTATTTCGAGGGCGATGATGAGAGCATCCTCATGGGGATGATGCAATCGCACCGCATCTTTCTCAGAGAATGTGATCTCCTCCTCTCTGCGAACCTTAACGGGTTGTGGCACCATACTCATTACACTCACAGGGTCATGACGGGTTTCCCGAGCATACCTTTCCTAGGCACCTTGAGAATTCCCCACGAGGTGTGGTCCTCTGAAGATGATCCCTACACAATAGAGTCCCTTGTGACCATGACGCTTCTTCCTTAGTTCCTCTTGATCTTTCCCCTGAACGGGTGTTGGGCCATCAACATATTCTTTGAAGTGTCCCTGCTTAATGAGGTATTCGATTGCCTGCTTTAAAGCTCGACACTCATCAGTGTGATGCCCATTATCCCTATGATAGCGGCAATACTTTTTATTGTTTCTGGTTGAAAGGGGATTCTTCATGGGCTTTGGCTCTCCGAGCAAGTTGGCCTCATTTACTTATCCAGAATGGCCGATTCTAAAGTGTTCAAAGGAGTGTATTAATTCTTGTCGCGATCGCAACGAGGAAATAGGGATAAGATTTCTTGGGCTCAAACTGTCGCTTCTTTCCTTTCCGCTGATCGTCATTAGCCCATCTGCGATCAGTCCTCCTATTCTTCGCCCAGTTAGGAGTATTGCTCGAGGGACCGAGGTCGTGGAGATTGAGAGCGGCCATGAAATTTTCAACTCGGGGGTATTTTTCAGTGAGGTTGTAGAAGCAAGTGAGGGAAACATCGTCCTCCAATTGTAGTTTCTTCCATAAATTTGTTTGCGGGCAAACTCCCGTGATAATGAGAGTCCGAACGGACTCTTCTAGAATGTGAGCCACTTTGTGGAGTTCCCTGTGGAATCTATCTATGTAAGATTAGAGGGATTCATCCTTCTCCTACTGTATGTTGTTTAGGTAGCTCAACTGCATGAAGAAATTCTTGTTCGCCTGGAAGTGTCTTAGGAATGACGGGCTCATTTGAGGCCATGAGCTGACTAATCCCGCGGGAAGCAACCTGAACCAATGCTTGGCATAGGCAATCAGGGTCACTGCTAAGCAACGACATTTGGCCAAGTCAGAGACTTGGTGGAGTTCCATGAGATCGTTGAACTCATACAGGTGATCCTGCAGGTTTGAATTCCCATCAAATGCCCGTATGTCGGGCATTTTGAATCTCGATGGGAGAGGAGTAGCTAAAACTGCTAGAGAAAAGAGAGACGCCTCTACGACCTTCCCACGCTCATTTTGTTGAGCCTTAAGCTGATCTAACGCTCGCTGTAGTTCCTCAATCTAAGGCAGCGGAGCTGCCTAGGAATCACTTTCTGCAATTTGGGTTCAACCCTCACGGTTGCGATTGAGGAAAGACCGCAAATCGGGCTCTTCCTCAACTCGGTTGGAAGCTTTGGCAAACCTTGACACATGCTGGCTGGAGCCGTGTGATGGCATTGAGTGATTCGGGGAATTTTCCTAATCTCCGTGGTGGTTCGAACCAACCTACGAACAATAGGGATTTCCCTCATGACAACGGTCAAGGTCGTTATTTTGGCGATACTAGTAATCTCCCCGCCTTGCACATTTGTGGGAGTGCTCATGCGACGTGGCGTGGGACGGCTCATGCTGTGACATGTCGCCAAGTCGTAGTGCCATAGGTATTCTACCCGTTGCGCGACCGGTGTTTGCTAGTCCCTCGGAGCCATCTGGTCTGCTGTTCGCCACTTGCTTTCCCCTTCTTTGAAGCACTGCAATGCGTGCGGTATGGGCTTTCGCCCTTTTTCGCACTTTTGTGCCACCTGCAGGTGTTTTTGGCGATAGCACCGCCTCATTGGATTATGGTGGCACGACCAGATCCAAATGGTCTAGCCTTTGGCTAATCGTTTGAAGAGTATTATTGAACCTCTTCAGGTAACTCATGACGGCTAGGTCGAGCCGCGAGCTTGAAGGAATATCCACCATGATACTCTGTTGGATTGGCGGCACTTCAAGAGAAATGTCCTCTTGTACCTAAGGGATTTCCTCATTGTCATAGTCGGTTCGCTCAAGTTCGAAACCGTGAGCCATTTGCTGATTAGTAGGACCGATTACTCAAAGATTTCTGATGAAGAGCGGATACTAAATCAGGCCCTCCTTCTAGCGCCAAACTGTTGATGCTGGATTTTGACACCAACGATTGACACGTGCAAAGTGTTAAGCGGACTTAAAAATCACACGTGATAAGGAAACATGAAATGAAACAATGACTGAGAAGCGATATTTAAAGTAGTTCGGATGCTCAAAAGTGAATCCTACATCCACTACTATTGTATTAATAGATGGGTAAAATTAGATCACGTGTGGCGAGCTGAGTTATAATCTAAAGAGAATACAAACAGAGAGAGAAAATGCGTAAGCTATTTTAGACTAAGATTAGCCAATCCCGTAAATGAGAAGGGTATCCTCTATTTATAGTGGGAGAGTTCAAGGCAATGATTACAAGTCTGCAAGTGGGTAGGTGTCGTGCAAATCTTTCTTTGCGTCCCATTGATTATCTGCACGAGAAATATCCTCAAATTACGTAGGGCTTGGATAGGTGGATAATCCCTAACCACTTGCGAGCCTGGCATTCACCTGCGGCATTAACAAGAACCATACCTCTTCCGTCACTGCATGATGTGGCAGCGCCTGGATGGCACAAAACCTTCCTGAACCCTGATTGGTGACGAGAGTCCACGCCAGCCCTAACTTTTTGAGACATAACAATATTCAAACCACAAAAGGTTGACATGGTTTCTGAAATTTAGTGCCAAATGCAATCATATGAATTTGAAAGGTGTATGCAACGAGAGTTTGTCAACAGATATAAAAATAGTTTAATATCAACCATATCTTATTATTAATAAATTGGTCAAGTACCAACGTTTTGGTTTGTTACTAATAGGCTTTATCAACTATTATTTCTGGTTCTGATTTGTTTATTAAGGTTTTTGTTCCCATTACATCACTAATCAGAGAATATTCAGTAAAGAAATAAGAGCATGGCAAACATGGAAACAACATCATAAATATTCTTTTTCTCTCTTCATCCATCCGAGACTACCCTTACCAGAAATTCAGGTTGTTATTTATGGGTAAAATTATTCGGAAGATATCTGATTCATTTGACTATGGAGTTATTCATTGCCTTTGTTATATATAATTAGAATATTTTTATTTAATTTTTGTTCATTAAAGAATATGATTAATTAAGTTTAAAAGCAGTGGTTGGGATAAATATTATGATAAGAAAATTGAAATGGTTTAAAAGGCGATAGAAAAAGTAGGAACAGGGTGATGTGTGAAAATGGAAGAAATGTGGAGTAGTAGTTTATGATGTTGGATGTTGTCAAAGGTCCCGTTAAAGTAGTCACGTTGATAGGAGAAGGTGGTTGTAAATGGAATGTATAGCATATCCTAAAAATAACCCATTTTTGTAAAATATGATAGACTCAAAGCTCGGTTACCATCTTCATGGCCATATAGAATCACTACCTTCTTGAGGCCATCAATTTCTCTTCAAATTCAAAAAATATAAGAAAAAAAAAAAGAAAGTATGACTCAGTTTACCAGAAAAATTGTTCAATTCAACCTTAAGCGTAGAATTCATCGTGGTGTTTTGATTCTCAGACGTTGCATTGGTTGTTTTTGGGAGAGCATTCTTATATGTTCCCTAGGAAAGCCCATTCGGTATCGGATGTTGCCACATGCGATGGTGCCCTTGCCGTCATCTCCGGCTTCTGTTGAGAGTAGCTCAACATCCGCCCCCCAGCCCAACGTGATGCCAGTTTGTCATACCCATCATCACCATTTAGATTCAGATTTGGTTGCTTTGAAGATTAGTCTTTTGGGTGATTGTGAAACCGGAAAGACGAGTTTTCTGGTACAAAACTTATCACTCTGTATGTTTTGGTTTTATGAATATGTTTCTTATATATAAATGTTGTTTGTTTGAAGGAAAAGTATGTGGGGAATGGGAATGAGCAGTGTGGCTTGCAGAGTGAAGGACTGAATTTGATGGATAAAACTTTGTTGGTAAGAGGGGCGCGCATTTCATATTCAATCTGGGAGGTTGCAGGTATATGATTAATCTTACAATATTTGTATTGCTTTAGCAGATTTACATGCTATGCTGTGGGATCTTTTTCTTAATAATTTGTTGGTGATCAAACATTATATACATTATGCAGGAGATGAAAAATCTCAGGATCATCTTCCTGATGCCTGTAAGGACTCGATAGCAATTCTGTTTATGTTTGATCTAACTAGTCGCCGAACCTTGAAGAGGTTTGTGATGAATTATCATATGATTTGATATGTGATCTTTTATTCTAAATTACAAGAGGGTTTATTTGATTTCTCTGGTTGCAGTGTCATAAACTGGTATCAGCAAGCAAGAAAATATAATCAGGTATATATTCTCATTCCACTTCTGTCCATATACGCGAGGGCGAGGCATGTATGTTTAAGAAGTCTCATTTCATCTTGTAGACTGCAATTCCGATTTTGATTGGTACCAAATTTGACGATTTCATTCAGCTGCCTATAGATTTGCAATGGACCATAGCAAGTCAGGTAACATTTTCATGTTTTTCATCTGTCTTTGCTTATAAACAGCAGAAATCATAAAAACAAAAGAAGCCAAACTTTTTTGAGTCAATAATAGTGTAGATCTGTGAATGTGGGAGAAGTAGGTAGTTGATTCGATCTGTGAATGTGGGAGAAGTAGGTAGTTGATTCGATCTGTGAATGTGGGAGAATATATATACGTGAAAGGCTTAACCATTGAGCAAAGGAGAGATCAGGTCAGGTCAATTCCCGAGGAAAAAATAAAAACTCTTTCAAAGTAGACATTATCATTGTACGGTCGTTGAATTTCTAGGCAATCAAATCAGTGATTACTCATTTGAATTGAAGGTGACTGGTCACCAAAACACATTTTACTACTGCTTCTATAAAAAAAAAAAATAAATAAAATAAAAATTGGTATTACTCAATTTTAAAACTTGTTTGAACTTCGGATAGTTTTAGAAGAAAGAAAATGGTGGATTCATGCAGATTACCAAATTTAAAGAAAGGATGGGCCTTCATCAATTACCCAACCCCTCAGTAAACGCCCAGTTAGGCTCACCAATAATTTGACAGTCCATTTTAATGATGCATGCCTTGGAGTTCGACGGTTAGCCTAATGCAACAATATAATTTCGAAAGTAAAGCAATTACAATGGGTATATCTAAAACCTGTAGTGCTATGACATTAAACTCGGCGTCAGTTGAATTTGATGAGGACCGTGATCTTCTATTCTGTTTGCTGAAAGAAGTTAAACAATCTGGTGCTAGCTTTGGGCTTTCTGATAGTTAAGTTCAATATCTTATATTGTGATGGCAACTTTATTCGTTCATGACAGGCAAGAGCTTATGCGAAGGCCCTCAATGCAACACTCTTCTTTTCAAGTGCAACCTACAACATTAATGTAAACAAGATCTTCAAGTTCATCACAGCAAAGCTGTTTGACATACCATGGGCATTGGAGCGAAATCTCACCATTGGTGAGCCTATTATCGATTTCTAGAGTTCGATTTTGTGCGTAGAAGAACTGGTTTGACCTGTTCAATCACTCGCTGGAAACTCTTAAATTGTCAGTGCGGCAAATAAGTCTTGAAGGAGTAAGGTGGAGGCTTGTACAGCCCACATCTCCGTTTATGAATAACCTTTATACCGTTAAGCAATTTTAGAGGAAAAAATTATAGAAAAAAGGAGTAACATTTTTTTTGCACTTCAGTTTCTCGGTTCATTTCTTAAAAAAGGGGTGACTCCTTGGACAATCTATATAAATACACCATCCGTAATATGAACATACAATGGTACATATATTTAGACAGCAGCATAAAAAATGGGAAAGTAAGGAGTAAATAACACTAAAATAGGATAATACAAGCTCTAATATGATTGATAATTTTCAGAAGGTATTTCATGGCATGCTGGTGAATAATGTGCATAAACACAGAAAATGAGAGAGTTTCAGAAGGTATTTCATGGCATGCTGGTGAATAATGTGCATAAACACAGAAAATGAGAGAAAGTGTTACCTACCAGAAAAATAAGAACTCCAAGCTACTTCCAGGGTAAAAAAATTTGTGGCACACTACTCATTATAATTTAATTACATGTGATTTTGATATTTGGAACTACTTTGCAAATAAAGGGGATTCATGCATTTCTTTCCTGGTTCAATTGCTAACCTAGTAAATTTATAAAAGTAAACAATTCAATCATATATCGTCTATCCCAAGGAACCTCCTATGCACAGAAATCTCATCAAACTTCCTCTATTTATAAAGCAGCATTCAATGAATAAACACTTCTTCGACTGCCATACTTCAAGTTTAGAAAAAAAATTATTGCCAACATAAGCCCGCCACAACAAAAGAAACAAGGGATTAACAAGCCTGACCTCATAGCCACAATACCAAACTCATGTAAAATCCAGAATGAATTATTTGATGAAAAAGTAGTCAAACAAAAGAAAGTCCAAATGTACAATCAATTGAAGGCATATCATCCACATCTTGATGCAAAGGCACATTTCCTTAATGGGGATGAAAATATTTGACCGAAGGTGATGAAGAGGTGATTGAATCGACCAATTATAGGATGCATTCGTTTTGCTTCCAATGCAATTATTTTGCACCAAATAAAATCACATACAATAATAAAAAAAAAATAAAAAAGGGTTCTCTGTTCTCTTGATCATTTTCATCATTAATCAGACAAGGCTAGAATTTATGAGTGCCACACTGCTACAAACGATACTTAATAGATAACAAAAGTTGAAGTCCAGAGACAAAAATTCCTTAAAGTAGAAAATCAAATAACAAATAGCTAAAGCAGCATTGTAAAAAAAGGATTTCACTCAAGTTTCACCTCCTCTCTCTTTGGGGGATCCAGTTGCAAATAAGTGTATGGTTCTGTTGGTTCCTCTCTGCAAAAATACAGATTGCATAAAAATCGATTCTTCTGTCAATTGAATTTCAAGCATCAAGAAGATGAATAATGATACTACTTCAGTATTTACCCGGGTTTCGATCGCATGCACCGCCAAAAGAGCTTAAAAGGGCCCGGAACAGTCTTAAATGGGTTCCCCTCAAAACAAGCCTACAAAATTGCGAACCAATCAGAATCAGGATATCATTAATTGAATCAATCAACAAGCCACAAGAATCTCCATTGCATTTTGAGAAATAGGGTATAATAGAGGAAAAAGGAAGGTAATAGCCCACTAATAGGCATACTTGGATAACATCCTCAGCTCGATCGTTACATCTGTGAGCTTTAGGTTGACGATGTTCTCCCTCCGGCGTTCCCCATGGGCTCTCTCTCCTCGGCACTGGTCTTGTCTCGCTCATCTCTTCTCTATATTTCTGTCTCTCGAATACTGAAGGAGTCCAGCACTGCAGGCAGCAACTACCCCTCTGGTTATAATTTTATTTGTAAAATTACATATTCGTTCCTGAGAATTGACCACAATACTTGGTTAGGAAAAGTTGGGTGCGCTTGTTTAATATTTCTATCCATATTTCTAATCTTATTCCTAAAAAATTTATTTGTTTAATTATTTAAGAAATATTAGTATTTTTTTTAATTACTTTTAGACCTTTTAAGTTTATTAATTTCATAAATACCATCAAAAAAAATTTAAAAATTAACAAAAACACTCTCATTCACCAATTGTTGTCAGATTCTGGCAACCACCATTGGTGGTGGCCAAAATCTATCACAACAGCCTACAAACGACAAAAACTGGCCAGTAATTCACCGATCTGGCCTTTCCGATGAGATCTACAATGGATCTAGCCAGAAAAGACTAGATGACCAAATAAATTGTCGTCGTTGACAGTCAACGATGGCTAAATCTGGGCCATCGTTGACTGACAACGACGGCTATATCTTTAGCCATCGCTGACGGCCAGATCTGGACTTTTGCGACCGTCGACGGCCAGATCTAGCCGTAGATCTAACTTTTTTCAACCAGATCTACCATAGATCTGGCCGAAAAAGGTCATATCCACGCCCTACTCGCCAGATCCGACCGGTCTGCGTCGTAATGCTATTTTCTGGCCAGATTTCGATGGTGGTGGTCGGAATCTGGCACTATGGATGGGTGAAGGTGTTTTTGTCATTTTATAAAATGTTTATATATTGGAGTGTTTAGTTAAATTAGCAAACCTATGAGGTTTTTTTTGTTAATTTTTAAATTTCACTACGTAATACTTACCCTATTTAACTACCCAGTATTATTCACAAAATACTATCCAAAATAACAAAACAAACGGACCCAAAACAAGTATAGGTAATATTGTCTATTAAAAAATAACTTGATATTTTTTCTCGAAATTATATGATAAAAATTTTAAAATTAAGAAAATAATAAAGAAAGGGTAAAAACAAAACCCTTTCAATGGCCTAGCAGCAACCTTGTTTCAGTTTTATTATTATAAAAAAAATCCTAAAAAATGACACAAAAATCCCAAATCAACAACAACGACTCAATAAAACTATTAAAGAATCTAAAATTAATTGGATGGGGATTCAAAAATGGTGGTCCTGGTGGAGATGAGGGAGTTCAATGGGGCAGACGGGTTCGTGGATGGAGAGGCTTATGTGGGTGGGGCTACCACTAGCAGGAGGGAGTAAGGGTGGCAAGTGGGGATGGGATGGGATGCTTGTGTGGTGTGGGTGTTGTCGGCGATAGGCGGTGGATGGGGAGGCTTATGTGGGTGGGGCTGCTAGCGGAGGGAGTGAGGGTGGCAGGTCGAGATGAGATGCGAGGCTTGTGTGGTGTGGGTATTGTAGACGATAAGTGGAGATAGCGGTTAGTAGTTCAGTAAGGTTGGTGATTTTTTTGTATGGGTTTTCTTTTTCATGTTTTTTTACTTTGTTTAAATTGTGTTGGTATATAATTAGAAACGAGTTAAAAATGAGTTAAATGAGGTTATATATATATAAAAACAGAAGGGTATTATAGACTTATACAACACAAGCAGAGTTAGCACCTAAATTTGGGTGACGCCGTCAGCTAACATAGGGATGATACTTAACAGGGCTGTTCAAATTCGGATATCCGATCCGAATAGGTCTTTTCCCTTATCCGATCCGAATTTTCAGATCAGGCTATATCCTGATCTGAATTCGATTCGAATTATGTAGATATCCGGTTTTACGGATATCTGATTATTCGGATCAGATAATCGGATGTCCGAAATTGATCCGAATTTTAAAATTTTTTTATTAAAATCAAATAATTCTAGGAATAAAATTGAAATTATAATTCCCTTACATGATAAAAGTATCTAAAAAAATTAACATGAAATACAAAATATTTAACCTATGTTGTCTAAACATTGTCACAGCCTAAATGAATATGCTATCTTCATTGCCAATTCCTACTCGTCATCATCCTCCTGTACAAAACAAATAAACCATTTCAGTAAACAACTTTTAAGATTAACAACAAAATTAATTGCATAAGAAATTTTATAGCATAATATTTCACTGTTATTCAGGCATGTCGTTTTCCTACTCAAAACATTTTATCGAAAATAGAAGAAAAGAACTTCCCTGCTATATTACTTATGAAAAACTCAACTAATAAAAATGTGGAAATATTTCACATAAAAGGATACTTTAATAGCACTAAAAAAAAATAAAAGATAACGGAAATAAAGTACTGTTCATACTTGCAGGTTGTGCGAAGTTGAGTGATCATTCTATTGAAAAATGTTGGCTCCTCCATTAAATTCCTACTTCTCAATTATCCCGCTACCTGTATCAAATGCGGAAATGGGTATAAATTGTTAAGAAATGAGTAGCGATTCATACTTCTGAATTTTTTTTTTTGAAATTTCTGATTCAGCCAAACATGTGAAGTCCCATTGTTTGTTGGGACATTTTGTCAAACAGGTAATACACAACACGAAAAAGTTGATAAACTGAATTGATTGGAACGTTTAATCAAACACATGGCATGCCTTATATAAGTGTCTATAAAAAATAACCCACCAAAACAATTTGCTTTCTAAGTACTAAATGTAAACATTTAGCACAGACATAAAGTCTACAATTAAAATTCAGCCTATAAAATTCAGCAAATCTAAATTCTAAAGAAATTTACTTACGATCGATTTGGGGCTTCAATCGTTAGGGAGACTGAGATCTGAGAGAGTTGAGCGAGAGAGACTGAGATCTGAGTCTGAGTGACTGTGTGTCTGTGTTTGTGCCGCTGTGCGTGTTCGAGCGAGAGAGACCGAAATAGTTGAGCGAGAGAGACTGAGATCTGAGTCTGAGAGAGTTTGAGTGGCTGACTGACTGTGTGTCTGTGTTTGTGCGTGTTAGAGCGAGAGAGACCGAGAGAGTTGAGCGAGAGAGAGTGAGAGACTGAGATGAGATATGGTCTGAGAGAGTTTGAGTGACTGTGTGTCTGTGCGTGTTCGAGTGAGAGAGACTGAGAGTGAGAGAGTTGAGTTAATTGTGTTAGACTGTTAGGGTTATTTTAAAACTCAAAACGATGTAATTTAGTAAAATCCGGATCGGATACGGATATCCGATTTTTTAACAATCTCGATCCGGTATCCAATCTGAATATTCAGATTTTTTTAAATAACGATCCGTATCCTATCCGAATTTTCGGATATCCGATTTTTTCGGATCGGAGCCAAACGGATCAAGATCGGATATCGGATTTTTTTGCACAGCCCTAGATGATAGTGTAACTTAGGGGTGTTATCGAGCCGAGCCGAGCTTTCGGCTTAATGAGCTCAGCTCGTGAAGAAGGAAAAATAAACGAGCTGAGCCGAGTCATAAATAATATAACTCGGCTCGGCTCGATAATGGGTTTGACATATTTCGAACCGGCTCACGAGCCGAGTTCGAGCCGACTCGCGAGCCAACTCCAAAATAATTTTGTTTTTTTTTTTTAATTCAATTTTTTTTAAAAAAAATTGCTGGGCAACAACTGCGCATCTGATTAAAGTCCGATGAAACCCCAAACCTCAAACTATAGATTTTCAGAAGAGAACTTAAAGAAAAAGAACAAAAACACGCAGAGAAAGAAAATGCAAAGAAGTTATTTTGGTAAAGTGTTTTTCAAGTGTTAAAGTAACACATCTCAACAAATCATTTCAAAATATCTATACTTCATCACTACAGGAACATTACTTTGACAGATCACAAACAACATTAACTACAAACATCATCACTCATGACTATTATCACAATACTTCCCCTCAAACGAAGCCACTGCTGTAATAACTCTTCATATCACAATACAAACAAACAACCATCACAGATGATGAAGATCTAACGAAGAAACCCCCTGCTCACCGATTAAAGTCCGATGAAAATCCCACGAAGATGATGACGATCCGACGAAGAAGATTCAGATCTGACAAAGAAGATTCAGATCCGACGAAGATCTCGCGACGAAGATGACGAAGTTCCGACGACATTTTCCCGACGAAGATCCCGCGAAGCAGATTCAGATCTGACGAAGATCCTGCGACGAAGATGACGAAGTTCCGACGACGATTAGACGACAAAGATCCTGCGAAGCTGACGAAAATCTGACGAAACTTATTTGGCTGATGATGGAGAACAAAATCGTTACTTTGGGAGGAGTTTAATTCAAACTTTTACGGCAAGGGTTCTATTGGTGTTGGATTTTGACAATTTGGGGATTTTAATAACAGGGGTTATTTTGTTATTTTTTAAAACTTGTATTGCATTATTTTCAATTAAATCCTAATACTTCAGAAATTCTAAAAAAAAAAAAACCCGCTATTTCGAGCCAGGCTTGGCTCGCGAGCCTAATGAGCCGAGCCGTGCATGACTCGAACTCGGCTCAGTTTGTCTCACGAGCCGAGTCGAGTCGGCTCGTTATCAGACGAACCGAGCCGTTAACAAGCCGGACTCGAGCCGAGCCGAGCTGGCTCGCGAGCTGCTCGGTTCGTTAACCAGCCCTAGTGTAACTTAAGTATTCCTACAGACCAAAGGTTCTTAAGCCAAACCTTAAGCATGAGTAAATTATCCGCTCTTTACAAGGGAAAATTAGGACTTTCACCACTACGTCGTTTCGATTCACCTCCTATTCTACGGTTTATTCATTTATTTGGTTGATTTTATTGATCCCCATTTCTTCCTTCTATTAGGTTGATTGTATTTTATTATTTTATTATATTTTGTGAGTATAAGGGTCCGTTTGGGAGTTTCATGATAGCAGTTATGACGGTAAACCACGGTAGTGATTTTGAGGGTAAACGATCATAACGGTTTTTAGTAACAGTTTTTAAAACACCCAACCTAGAGTAATGTTACAGTTACCGAAAGGAGCACACCAAATTTGTGCACTAAATGACGTAGCGCAATCCTGGCCGTCGATTAATAGTAACTCATAATTAATCGACGGTTAGGATTGTGCCATGTCATTCGGTGGGTTTCCTTCGGTAACTGTATTATTTTCCCTCAACCTATACTTGAAAGTTTATTTTCCAACGGTTCTAACAGTTTTTTAAAATGATAAATTTACATATATACCCATAAAAATACCTCAATTTTAAGCAGTACTTGGGAATTTTGTTCTTTCAATTATAAGGTAAGAGTTCTTTATTTGTTTTCTACTTATTAGTATTTTATAACTTCAAATATGATAAAGTTTTCTTATCCTTCTTCGCCATTCTTTGGAGTATTTTGAGTAATTGAAAAATTGTAACTCCACTTCTCCAAGAAAGCATCTAGAAATGAGATTTTAATAATTTTTTTTTTTTTATGATTGCTTAAAATTTTCTTTATTTTCAATCTTAAAATATACCTAAATCCTTCTCTATTTTTTTTTTAAAAATAAATTAAGGTTAAAAATATCTAATTCTTTTTCCAAAAAAATAAAATAAAATAGAGTAATATTACACTTACAAATAAATTTTACAAAGACCTCCATACAAAGTGATGTAACAAAAAATGAATGGAATAGTGAATTTAATAAGTTTGATTTTTTGTTTCACTCTTCCATTCATTTTTTGTCACCTCACTTTATATAGAAATCTTTATAAGATTTATTTGTAAGTATAGTATTATTGAATAAAATATCCATTTTTACCCAAAATATATTTGATGTGATTAAAATAAAAATAATTTTACTTAAAAAATTGAAAATTGAAAAAGAAAATTTAATGTCATCAATCAATAAACATTGTATAGGATTAATTCACAAAATTTGAAGCCATATTTATTTATATATATGTGTATTAAAACATGACATGATCGACAAATGAAAAAGGTTGAGAAAATAAAAACCCAAAACCACCGTCGAAAGACAAGGATCTTGAAGTCGAAGTGAGCATATTTCTACAAACACCCCAAATCCAATCATAAATCCATCCTTCCATCCTTCCATCAACATTCAACCATCAATATGGGAGCTCTCCTCAACCTAGTTGACGCAATACTCTTTATTTTCTTCCTCTTAATCGCGGCGGCCGCGCCGTTGATCGACGCCCAGACTTGTCTGCCGCTGACCTTCTTCCCACAAATCCTCATCGATATCAAGCAATGGTACATCCGACAGTATGGAGATTATCTTGTCTCCGAGAAGCCCCATTTTTTCGTAGGCATTGTTACCCACGAACTTGTGTTTCAGTGGCCACTCGCCATTCTTAACATCTTTGCAATTCTTACTTCTAAGTCTTGGTTTAACACCACGTGTTTGATGTACGGCGCCTCTGTTGTCACTTCCATGGTAACTAAAATAAAATATTTTCTGTTCTCTTTATAATCCCAAATCAGCTCGCTGATTTTAATTATCTTGATGTGAATTGCAGGCGGCTGTATTGGCGGATCTGTTCGGATCGGGAAAGGCTTCTGATGAGCTGATAATGGTCTACTTTCCGTTCATGGGTCTGGGTGTTTTGGCCATTCTACGTGGGCTGCTGGGGAATCCTGCAAAAACGACGACATTGAATATAGGCAAGAGATCTGCTTTGGGGAGGAAGAAGAAGGCTTGAGATGGTTTTTAGTATTTAGAGAGTTTGCTATTTCATTTTTTGTGTGAACACCTGTTCTTTCTTTTTGCATTCGGGATTTATACAGAATTTTATTTTGAATGTGAGAAGGTTGGATTTGACCCAATGTTTTTATTGGATCCAGAACGGTTTAATTTGTGGAGGATATTACTGAAAGTTGAGTGTTAACCTGATTCTGAAATAAAATATAACCAAAATCCGTACTAATCCGTTAGAAAGATGATTGGGTTGATTTTCCAGTTGACAAGGAGGGTCTAGATACTCAATTCAGCATTATGATTACACAAGTAAGTTCTTATGCATTACCAAACAATGACGAATCCAGGCAGACATAAACTTTGAATGATAGCAAATCTGTCACACAGCATGTACTTCATGCTGTTGCATGTGTCACAGATTGCAGCCGTCACTGGCTACTTGTTCATAAACATGTAAATTAGCAGTGTATGTCTCAAGAAAAAAAATATCATTTACACTACAGAGAATTTGTATGACAACAAACTTTGTATAAAAGGAAATTAAAGAAGCGAAACAATTACAGCTGATAACTAACAGTAACTTTAAAGTCATTAATCTTAATTCTGCTTCTGTTTTAATAGAGTTCTGCAACAGACATTAACTCCAGGAAATCTTCAGGATGTTCATATGAACTCATGATCTTCATAAATAAGTTGTTATATGCATAACCGCTTGCTGATAACAGTATTCTCATCAAGAAGATAACGAGTGTATTCATCTTCATAAATAAGTGTCATATATATAAAGAATTTAGCATAATATCTGGACCGAGAGTGGAAACCTAAACAATATCGAAGTTGGAACTTGCTTATAAATCTTGAATTAGAACAGTGATTAAGATTTTTAATTCACTGATGCTCAACATTTCTATCTAGCCAGGAACAGCTGGCAAAAAAATTAAGATAAAAAGGTAAATATCAAGACATAATTGGAAAAAGAAAATGCTTAATTCATTAACTGGAAACACACATGCAAAATAAGATAAAGTGCTGCAACTGAAATTGAAAGTCATATATATAAGGTCAAAGGTTCAACACCTAGACACAGCACACAAATCTGTGTAGAACAGAAAGTAGAAGAAGAAACGGGATTCTTATACATTAGATACCTACATACTATTCTCCCTTATCAGATTGAGCGTTTTGAGGCAGATAGCAGTAGATATCACTATTTGGCAATTCAATACCATTTTATCACTGCCTGACCAGAAGCAACCGCCACATCTTTCAGATCCTTCAAGGCCTTTGAATTTTCTGATGAAGAACCTCTGATCAAAGGTTTAACAATTAGTTTCTGGAGGAATCTTGATTTCCTCAGTATGAATTTGAGAAGGTCAACTTCAATTTTCTTTGCTGTAAACCCCTGCATCTCAACCCGTTCAAGATTATCAAGTCTCCATCCTTTTTTTGTCCAAATTCCTTCAGGCAATCGATCACTATAGCGATTATACATAAAATCCTGATACTGCAATACAATCGTTTACTAAGCTAATTAAATGGAATTATATTCCACAAATTGATATTTGTCAGGAAATGAGTCAGGGAACTTACCTCTGTCAACTCCATCAAGCTGGACAAAATTGAGAGTGTTTTGAGGTGCGGTGAACTTCTGAGCAAGCACATTATGGCTGGCAGTTCATATCGTCCTAAGCATGTCTTCAATGTCAAATGCTCGATGTGCAATATGTGAGCCGGTGGTTTGCAGTACAATAAGTAGTCCTTGGAAAACTTCTGCAGAGAAAAATAAAAAACAAGAAGGTAACAGCTAACTTTGTTTTGGTTCTTTCTAAGATGAAATATATGTATATTTTTGTTACATGAAGAACAAAGATACCCTTGATTATACAATAAAAGAATGGACAAATTTAGCTTCTAAACTTTCCTCTATTGACCCAACCTTCAGATAGGCTTAGATAAATTGCTCCTAAAACACATATTTTAGTAACAAAAAAAAAAATATAAAATCTTGAGATAGGGCATGTTCAGCAGCACTAAATTCTGATTCCTATATGAGTATTCATCATCTAAAATATAATTTGAAACTTGAATTTTTTTTCTCTCTCAGAATTCAGTACGGTTATTTATAAGCTTAAACAAAAATCAACAAATTATCAATTAAAGAATCAATAATATTATACTTACAACAAAAATTTACAAAGATTTTTATATAAAATAAGGTGATAAAAAATGAATGGAAGAGTGAAACAAAAAGTCAAATTCATTATATTAACTCTTCCACTCTTCTATTTATTTTTTGTCACATTACTTTGTATAAAGATCTTTATAAGATTTTCTTTTAAGTGTAACATTACACTTTTCTACACCGATAATCATCTTTAAAATCCTATTTTGGAACTATATCATGTGCGACAAAATTTTGCTGACTTGAACTACCATATCTACCGATTATACGATTCTTATCTTACTAGATTAGAATAACAGTTGTTTTACATGGATAACGAACTTAACATAAGTGGTTTTGTCATCATCTGATCTACCATAAAAGTGTATATGAACTTAACTAAAGTAGTTATGCATCATTTGATCAATTGTTAAAAGAGTATAAAACAAAATAACGAACTTAACCATTGCTTACATCATTTCATCAATCATAAGATCTAGGGTCCGTTTGGTGCATTATTTGAAATAGTATTCTATTCTGAATAGGATATGATAGTATACGATATGATTAAATCTTATAGGACAGGATAGGGTCGTAAGGTTATTGTGTACGACTTTCCTCTCCAATACTCCTCTTGGACTCGCTTTCTACACCGATAATCATATTTAAAACCCTATTTTGGAACTATATCATGTGCGACAAAATTTTGTTGACCTGAGCTATTATATCTAATGATTATAAGATTCCTATTGTACTAAATTAGAATAACTGTTGTTTTACATGGATAACGAGCTTAACATAAGTGGTTTTGTCATCATTTGATCTACCATAAAAGTGTATAGAACAAAATAATGAACTTAACTCAAGTAGTTATGCATCATTTGATCTATTATTAAAAGAGTATAAAACAAAATAATGAACTTAACTGTTGCTTACGTCATTTCATCGATCAGAAGATCTAGGGTCCATTTGGTACATTATTTGAAATAGTATAGGATTAAATCAATAAGATAGGATTATGAGAATATGCTTGGTACATTTATTGAAAACATTTTCTAAAAATATTTAGATTAATTTTAACCCCCTACATTTATTAATTTAACTAAACACCACCCCAATAAAAGTTTATAAATTAACAAAAACACCCCCCACCCACCCAACTGATTGCTGGTAGCCGGCCACCACAATCGGACAGTGGCTGACAGTCGTCAGAATGACACACGACCAACTAGATTTGGCCGGTCGTGCACTATTCTGGCGTCAACACCAGTTGGCACTGGCAATGGTTGCTGGCGAGCGACAATGGTTTGGGTAGGTGGGGGTGTTTTTATTAATTTATAAACTTTTATTGTGAAAGGTAATTGTATGTTTTGAATTGGATTTTGAATCAAATTCCGCAAATAGAAAAACAAACACGTTTTTACTATTTACAATAGGATAGGATAAGATTTGAAAAGTGTACCAAACAAGGTATATTGTCTGCATATGTTACATGATAATAAACTTAATTTCTGCTCATGTCTAATCATTAAATACTTATGATACATGAATAATGATTTTAAAGGTTGATCAATAGATCAATGCATGTATTTGTGAAAACAAAATGTGAATGCCTATACTAGACTTTTTAGTTTGAGGAAAAAATGTTGTTTATCATTAGGTATTTAGAGATTTCTAATTCTGAAATCAAATGTTGGATGAAGTTTTCCAAGATCTTCCATTAAAAGAGGAAAAAAGAAAGATTAAATAAAGTGTGTCTCAATTTGTGAATCTATTTTTTCAAGTTTTGGAATTCTATGTCAAGAAATATTTATACTCACCTACAATGTATGTAAGCAAAATCACACCAAGAAAATAAATATATCTAATTAAAGAAAGTAATAGGAAAATCTTCAAGGATTCTGTGATCAAAATTCAAGTCGAAAAGAAATGATTCTTTGCAATAGAAATATTAATGAATATAGTGAAATGGAAAACATAAACAAATATATCTAAGCCGTATATAGAGGCAAGGGAATATTTATATGATTTGGAAGAAAATTTACCTTGAGAGCAGAAGTGCATACTTTAAGGATCCTGGCGTCAGCAAAACCAGAAAAAAGTGCCACTATATCCTCAGCCTCATAAGGATAAAAAAAATCCAAACGATAATCCAAAACCACTTCCTGTATTTCATCTAATTTGCTCAGATTCAACAGCACCATTCTCCCTGCATACTCAAAATATTGAAGTTTTGGAAGGCAAAGCTCCACCCCAAGAGTAACTGGTACACAATGCCTGATTATCAACCTTTTAAGCCTCAATAACACGAAACTCATATCAATCTTAATCACTCGATAACACTCCACTAAGCACAAACTCTCCAACAGAGGACAAGCGGCCAGTAGAGGTGCTATCTCCTCCCAATGAAGCCTCACCCTTGTTAGCGTCAAGCTACTTAGCCCAATAAAGTTCTGAAAGTTGAAAGAACCCAAACCGCACGAGTTTAGGTTCAAAACCCTAATAGACCTGCCATTTTCATAGAAAAAATTGGGCAAGACATATTGTGGAGCATTGAGCAACAGTGGCTGGGGATCTATGGGGTCTCCATCTGAAAAGTCTAGACTTAACTCCTTCACATATTTTGCCAAGGCAACATTGATCCACTTATCTACATTTTCTTGGTATTGGGTGGAATAAAACATGCGGAAACTGAATTTGGATAACGCCGGTGAGGTTAGACCATTAACGGCCTTATTGAGAAAATCTACAAATCGCAGCTTCCCAAATCTTTTCAACTCCATGGAACGGACTCTTTTTCCAACATTGAACGAATATTGCCTGGCACCTGGAAACGTGAAGTCTGCTTCAAACAGTTCGAAGTTAGGGCAATGCAACCAAAGAGCCCTTTTATGCCATTCTTTTCTTAACAAACAAAGGCGAAACGCATCAATAAAGGGAAGGAAGGAGATGATCAAGATGACAAGTTCGTCTGGGAGACTTGAGAAACCATCATTCTCAATAATTGCCATGGTTTAGGGATTGGTTTCACTGTGAAAACGAGAGAGTTTGAAAGAGACAAGACAGAAATGGAAGGCTTTATGTAAAGAGGGTGGTAGGTTCATGGCCTTTTGTACTGAGTGAACTGTGAATGACTCCAAACACTTATCTAGACCTAAAGTGGCACGAATTTTCCATGATACTAAGTGGGGTCAATACACAATCGCATAAAAGAGATGCAATTCGAAATGAGGGTATATATTTGGGTCAGAATTTGGCCTATGATGATTGCTCTGGCCTCTTCTCATGGAAGTTTCATAAATGTTTCAGGCCGATTCTGTTGTAAACAAGTAAGAGAATTAAGACGAAGTAGAGTTGGCTGCCTTTGTTAGCGTTAAGTAAAAGAAGCCTTTTTTGGATTCCCTCTGAAACTATTCCAATCTATCTTCTCGGCGCGTGAATTTCACCCTCATATATATTAGAAATCTTCTGAAGCCTCTATCCTTCACTAAACCACAATATTTTAAACCTGTTTCAGACAAAACCTTGAGCCGAGATGGGGAATGTATTTCAAAACCAGCTGATTCCCTGTACGTATAAACAGCCTCATTTTACTTTTGAAAGTTAGTGCTTTCAGGTTTATCTCATTTTTATCATTTTTCCTCTCAAACCAAAGAATTAGAAAACCAGTGATACTCGTGGTCACTAATTAAATTATTTAATCTTTTAAGAATGTGGTTTCGTAATTTGAATTGACCCGTTAAATAATTAATGACCTTCTATTTTATGCTAGGGACAAATATGCACGCATTTCTTTGAAGACCTGGACATTAATTTACTGATACGAATACTGTATACTGTATATTTCGCTGATGTATATTGTGGATGAGATTGGCAACACTGATTTCTGTTAGACTTAAAAAGGAAATTTTATTATGATTTTAATTACATTCTTAAAACTTTTAATTAATAATTAGTGCTAGTTTTCATATCGTAGTGCTTCCGCACAAATTAACCATTGCAAGTATATTTGGAAGGGACAGTGTCAGCCTTATCATGATTGGTGGCTCATGACTAGGTACTTAGGACTAGTCATTAACAATTGCTAATTAGGTCATTACCAATTAATTTTAATCTTCTTTTAGTACGTTTAGAGGACGGATATAGAATTTGAATATTGTATTAATCAAAATCAGAATTAACTTGTAGAAAACAGTGGCACAGTCGAGAATACATAGAAGCGTCTCTTCAAAATAAAGAAGAAGATGGAAAGAGCAGAGTAACTGAAGAAAACTGAGAAAAATAAAAAAATTCAATCTGACATGTACATAGTGCTAAAACAATAGGTAGTGAAGAGCCAACAGTTTCATAAATTAAGGTGAGAGCTCATGACATTTGTGCAATGTAAACTGCACCAGCAACAAGATGAAATACAAGGAAACATTGCATTTGTCATTAACATTGTACATGTGTAAGGGAAACAACTACACAATGAGGATGAAATTGGCACCACCACCAGGATGAGACATGCCATATATGTAAATGCTAAAATATAGTAGAAGAGTAACTGAAGTAATTAATTGGTTTATAATTACAGCGGTTAACTACTATAATTAGAAGTCCGGCGAGAAAATTATATATTAAATAATCTTTTTCGTGACTAGATGATCCATATTTTACTTATCAACGGCAAAGCAAGCCCGGCCCATGTTTCAGAATCATATATAGACGATCCTTTCGTTCTTGGTCCAATTTAAACTTCAACCTTTTCAAATAGACTTTAATTAGCGAATCAACAAAGTCAATAATAATATAATATCACACCATCTGTATTCTTCTACATTTGCAGTTGCAGCTGACCAGCGAGACATATTCTCACCTAAGAATTGTGGGTACTTTTTTATGTGTTTTTGTTAGGAGTGTTGGCGTTTAGTTGAACGGATTTTATTTTTTTCCTCTCCAGTTCATCAATATTTCTTCTGTGTTGTGTCATGTCTTCGAGTGTACTTATTTGCAATATTTTTTTGTTCTTATTTAGATTTTTAAAGTTTGATTTAGAGTAAACGCATTTTTTTCCACCCAAAAAGTTTTAAAATACCAATTTACTATCCAAAGTTTATATTCTGACCAATCGCTAGTTGATTTTAACATCGTTACAACCTCATACCATCACAAGTCTCTTCTTTAATTATAACTAATCAAAACCCCTCAAACCTTGCTCTCGTCGATCTCATTAGTCATCGGAAATCGAGAGACTTGTGGAATACGCAGTTGCCTTTTCCAAGTTAAATTTTAACCAGTCCCGATCATAAAAATTCAACCTGCTATCACCAAAAGACTAATCGACATCTCTTCTTCAAAAGCTTCAATAGCTTGAACCGAGTTTACCATCCGTTCACCACTGAATCGGAAAACATATTCTGGATAGTAAACAAAACATAAACTTTGGATAATAAATTGGTATTTTGAAACTTTTTTGGTAGAAAAATGTCATTCCAGCAAATCTTGGGTGGGAAAAAGTCGTTTACTCTAAGATTTATGAAGAAACCAACGGAGAGGAGCGGAGTCTGTAGTAATCATAGGCAAGACAGTTATAAATCCATTATGATCTATATAAAAGTCTCGGCAGAATAAGAAAAAAATAAACAGTACAGAGACAAATCATTAAAAGAAAATAAAAATCTTAATTAGCTGGCACAGGCTTGATGTTTATATATAATTGAGGGCACATTTCAGAAATTAATAATCTTCGTACCCTTTCCAGTACGGCAATCGTCAAATCCACTAGCATGATATTGTTGTACAGTAGCTTATGAGCTAGCTCACCAAGATAACTCTTCAGTCATCCATTTTTTTATTTGATTTTCATCTGCTTTGGACGTTGGATATAATGCTTAGAACAGCGCTATCGTAAACAGTCCATCACAAATTACCTCGGTATAAGATATAGAATTGTATAGTAAAGTTTTCTATTGGATTTCTTAGTCAGTTTTGTTATTTAAGATCGATCAATCAGATTGGAGTTGGTCAGTGAGCAGCGGAGATGAATCCGCCGGCCAGTTGGCCTCAGTGACCACATTATCCAATTAACATTATAGGACAAAGAAACCTTTGAAAAAGACAAAATTAGCACAAAAAATAATTAAACACAAAAAGAAAAGACTAGCAGTCTCTGTCTATTTCAACAGCTCTTGAAATGGAAAAAGAAAAGGAAGCAAACGTCTGTTAGCAGGTGAGAGCTTTTCCACCTACTAGTGCTTCGAAAACACACATACAACAAGAGAAGAAGGAAAAAACAAGATAACTAAGCAACTAAACAAAATTATCCCAAAACCCCTAACAACAAAAACCAATTATAAGAAGGTGAGGGAGATCCAACCCTTTTTTTAACAAGGTCTTAATGTTCTTTTTGTTTTTAATCTTGTTTTGAGGAAGTCAATACCCGAACCTCTAATCCTTTGTTTGCTTGCAATGTGTTCTTAAACAAACTTCAAATCACCAAAAAAGGATCATGTAAGGTGCGCTCTTGACTTCTCTCCATATTTTTCAAGCCGAAATTTCCCACCACCTATTTGTTCTTCTTCATATATTTTTCTCCTTTTTTCCTTCTTCTTTTGATAACTGCAACGGTAACAAATAAGTTATCAGTATGCCAAGAACATTAAACAGTATTCTTAATGAAATCACGTTGATGGAATCGGAAAATAAAGAAGTTACCGCTTTGAGGTTCATGCATTCTCGCATGACAAAGAAGCCTTTATTCTCTCAACCGTGCATGCAATCAAATTGTTTACAGTAGCAACAGATCCAAGGGACAGTTTTGCTGTTGGAACAGAATCAACTAAAATCTGAAATGCAACAGTTAGTAGAGATCCACCAGATGCAGTTTCACCAATGCCTCCTCCATGAACTGTAGTTCCATCAGGAAGAATCGCAAATCCGGAAGGTAAAAGGGCAACATAATCAGGGTCTCCCCCATTTAGTACTACATTCATTGCAACAATATCAACAGGCGCATAAATAACGAAAGATGCTGTCTGATCAGTGCAACTCTCTTGTAAAATCAGCATGTTGCTCTGGCTTGAATTTGCGCTCTACAACAACATTTCTTAAGAATTATTAGTAAATTTACCAACACTTAACTACATTCACTCCTTATTAAAGGAGAAAGAACTGAATTAAAAAATAATAATAATAATAATGCACCTCATTTTTCACTTACATTCACTCGCAGTAAAGACACGCAATTGCCTGTATCCCGACCATTTGCAATATGTGCCATCTCTTGGACGACTCCACCATTTGAAAGAATATCCCACTGCAATTATGAAAACTAATTTAGATAAAAAAAATCTAGAATATAATATGCTGATCATTTTTCAAACCATCACACATTTTTAACTTTACAGTTTTCTATTTTGGGTAAATGCAATAATTGCATCTCCCGCGACTTGAGTACAAGACTCCTGTATATGACTAACTCCAATTACTAAGCTATTAAATATTCCAATATAATCACACTTTACAATTCAAATCCAGTATTTAAAAAAAAAAAAAAAAAATGTTATATGCATTGACTTATGGTCTTTTAAATCATGGTTTAGCTTTGATCATAATAAAACATACCCAACCATCTACATGCAATGCAAACTTATGTTGAACCCAGATAACAAATATAAAATATATGCTACCAATTATTAGTTAATAATAGAGTTTCTATTTATAGGTCATAGTATCAAATAGAGGGATAAAATAAAATAAATTATTAATCAGCTGTGCATACAACTAACGAAAACCTCTCAAAATTAGCAAAAGTAAATTTCAAGAAAAAACAAAAAATCAATTCACCTTAGTTATTTTAGTAGTAATTGTAATTAGTATTCATTCTCTGTTAAAATTTTCGGATATCTAAGTCTATAAGGTTTTTAAATACTTAATATACCTCATTTCGAGTGTTCTCATCACGAAGGAAATCGAAAACTCTTTTTGGTGGAACGGGAAGCCAGAAAGAAGTTGCAGCACTAAGCACAAT